CAAATCCAAGAATCAAATCCAAGAATCAAATCCAAGAATCAAATCCAAGAATCAAATCCAAAGTGTCTGGAACAGGAAGCCTTCTGTTCGGTTTTTGAATGGTTTAACCTCTTTACGTGTACAATATCTGCGAGCGAAGCCCAAAGATAGCTATGGCAGTCGACTTCCATTTCCACGAAACTGATTTCCAGCACCCAGAAGCTTCAGACCTTATCAGAACCAAACAGGTCGAGGAGCTCTTTGAACAAGGGCATGGCCCTCAATTCCGACAGTGGAAGGCCCGTTGTCTCCTGCGAAAGATGAATGAGGAAGTCTGCATCATCTCCGCAAGGACCTTTTCCGGCGTACTTCCGCAAGTCCAACATGAAATTCTGAAACTGAAGGCCAACTCTGGCGGCGGGAGTGGTCACGATAGTTGGCGCGACATCAAGGACCCGACAGAAAGTAATCCTTAGGCAAGGAAAGCCGCGTACTTCAACCTGAGAAGCAGCATGTCTCGGCTGCCGAGAAATGTGGAACGAGCCCAAGAGGACGGCGATTTTCCCATCCGAACTTCCATTGAGCAAGTCGACTATGTTGGTGGCGATGGTGGTTTATCCGACTGTTCTGTCACGGACAATGGGCTGGTCGACATCAATCGGAACCACCCGGATTCCTGTCGCCGAAGCAGCCCTGGCCAAGTCGATCATGTTGCCGTCTGGTCCAATATCCACTCCATCCAGAGAATCCAGTTCACCTCGGCAGAAACGATCTATCGGGCGTCTGCTGGTTGAAGATGCTCCGACGGCAAGAATTGTGATCCCGGTTTCTTTGAGATCGCCAATTTTGGAGCACAGATAGCTGCGTATTGTTGAATTTAAAATGCAATCTCCAAAGAAGATAGCCCGGTGTCCTGTGACAAAGGAGAGGATGATTGATGGACTGGTGACAGTTCAAGAGCTCTTTTGCGGCCGAATCAAAATTGTTCCAAGCATCCATTTTGATCCACGTCAAGATGTAAATTAAGTTACAGGACGAAGCCTGAACCGCGAAGGTGTAGGTCGACCTGTGGTTGCAAGATGTCAACCGAATGGGTCATGCACTAGCCCAGAACGAAGGAAAAGGAGAGATTGCCGCAATGGCAGGGTTTGGTTTGTTGAGATCAGTTCTGTCTGAAGAGTAAGGAGGGGAGACTCTGTGACTCGACTGGCTAGAATGAAAGAAAAGGAGGGGCGGTTTAGGCTAACCCTGGGAATCGAACCGGATAGGAATGTTTTGTCACTGTGCATCTCCCGCTTCTGTGAAGATGCCAAGCTGCTGCTAGGGTGCTCGTCCCTTGATTTAAAACAGTAAATTCTAATTTTACTCTACTGTATCAATGCTAGAAATCTCTATGGCTAAATCGATGCGTAACGCAGTAGGCGCTCCGAGCGCATTGAGGGCCATAGTACCAAGCACCCCTACACCACAAATGTCAGGCCTTGATACCGGAATTTTGACAATATGTCCCGCCATACTACTGTGTGCATCCCAGCTTGGACCTCTTTTAGTTTCGCGCTGTCCTTTCAGCAATTGAGCTGTGTAGCAACGTTGCGAGGGACCGAGCTTCATGACAGCGACCTCCGATACGCCAGATTCACAAAGCCTCAGGCGAAAATAAGTTCTGGCTCATTACGAGCCTCTATTACCACTCGTGCTGATACCGTTCGTAGTTTAGTCTTGGTTGATTCGCTCAGTAGTACGGGCTTCTCCAGCACCGGATTCGCCAAGTACATGCCGCCGTAGAGCTGCTGAGGTAGGCATGTAGCGGGAGGATCTGTACTCGGGAATAATCCAAAAAGATTAATTAACGAAGGAACTTGAGTGTAAAGCGCGTTCAAAGTTGTTTTCCCTTCTCTCTCTCTTTTTTTTTTTTTT